CAATCTGAAGGACCACACAACACATTATTTTTTGTTTGAGGCCTCAGGGACTTCAGTTGCCTGCCACGGGGCTCCAAACTTGGTTGATTTTACACTATTTTCAATGGAGCTTGAATTGGTTCAGTGCACCCTTATTGAACGTAGTCTGGTTCCCTGCCCAAAGATCCCCGGATGACCCTTGATAATGATTCATAGGGTAGTCAGAATCATCCGGTCTGGTATCCAGACTATATGGAACAAACTTAACCATTGCGCGTGTGTGGATGAGTATGTTTTCTGTACCATAAGGTGTACATGTACGTACTGCACTGTCAAGTCGTGATGTGATATGCAAGTGGCTTACCGTCCTTGCTTCCTCCTTCGGAGCACATGATCAATTTTGGAATTTGCAGTATAATAATCGAGAACGAATTTGCTGGGATCGACCATGGAGGTAGAAATAAACCAGGGTAAATCAAAGACATTGAATTAGTGCATGAATTCATAATGTACATAGACATTACATCTGTATGTGTAAGTCAGCAAAATGACAACTTACCACAGAAGTTGACATTCGCATAAGTCGTCATAATTTCTCGAGTCCCGAGAGTGCCGACTCAGCCAGATTTTATTGTACTAATACATCTGTCACAAAATTTCTAAGTGCAACTGAAAGACCATTCTACATGTATAACTGCTTTCAAAATGTTCCAAAGTAATAACCTTTTCGCAATCGATTTACTACGAAGTATTCTTTGCAAATCATGTGCAATTTCAAATATAACACTTGTCTAGGGAGTTCTTTCAGTCGCACTGGTTTCAAAGCAGGATAAGGCGGCGCTGTTGGCCAAGTCTGATATTAAATCTGCTTTCTGTTTACTTTCTCTTTACCAGAATGACTTTAATCTACAGTATCTGGTTTTTCCAATAACATGGATCTCTATTGTGACAAGCGTATGCCATGGGCTGTTCCATTTCTTGTGTGACGTTCGAATATTTTTGCACATCTCTTGAATACTGTACAAGGTGAGTTGCTGGCACGCGTAACATTATCTGGATGACTTCTTATTTGGTGGTCGACCCAATTCGTTCAAGTGTGTGCGTGCCCTATGTTCATTTGGGGTAGTGTGCAAGGAGTTTGGTGTTCCCTTTACTCCAGACAAGACTGAAGGTCCAACGACTCAAGTAACATTTCTCGGCCTGGTGGTCGACACTTTCTATCAACATATCTAAGTCCCTCATATCAAGATAATTTCTGTTCTTGAGAAAGTAGATTATGCATTGTCCAAATACAAGTTGACATTAAAGGAGATTAAGTCATTGTTGGGGAGCCTGAATTTTGGCAGTAAGGCCCGGTCGTACCTTTCTCTGTTGTTTGTTTGATCTTACTAGCAGCAATCAAAAACTGCACCATCGTATACATATTTTCTCAGCTGCACGGGCCAACATGTTAACATGGCGGCAGTTTTCGAAACATTTTAATGGCAGTGTTATGTTCCCAGATGTGCCGAGAACAATGACGCCATGATGACGTCATCCATCAAGCGATTTATTATTGATTTTTCAATATTTATTTCAGCCCATTGACTTTGTACACGTTTTCACGGCACAATTTAGGTTACTTGGTGATCTCCATTCGTCATCAAAGTTACAGCCGGCAAAGACCATGGTTCAAAATCATTGCCTAATTTATGACATCATGATGACGTCATTGCCTTATTTCATTTTTCCCCATTGGTTTTGTACACGTTTTTCTAATTGACACTAGTGAACAGATGAATAAAGACCTCCTGTGTTGATGATGCCATCAGGGAATTAGTCATGTGACGTTAAATGTGCACTCTTTAGGGCCCTATATCTCCTGAAGTAGATGTCCCATCAGGTTGAACTCTTGCAGATATCTTGAAAAGAGAGTGCTTTATAGAAAAATTAACCTCATGTGATGATGACGTCATTGATGTGGAGTCAAATAACATTTTATTTAAAGGACATTATCTACTGAAGTACATGCATGATATTCTGTTGAAACCTTGCATCCAAATGGTCATAATGAAGGATTTACGCCATCACGTAAACTCTGCACAGGTTTTGTACAGGGTTTTTCTGCGTGGCAATTTAGTCCCTTTGCAAGTTCCTATCTTCATCAAAGTTGCCTCAAGCAAAGACCCTATGGCAAAGATGTGCCACGAAGCATGATGTTATGACGTCACACCACATTTTTTATTGAATTTGAATATTTAATTTTCCCCATGGGTTTTGTACACGTTTTTCAACTGGCAGAATGGCATGGACTTCGGCCACTCCACAAAATGAAATTTTGTCTAAGCAAAAACCATACAGCAAAGATAGTCCCAGAGGAATGACTTCACTTTGACATCATGAAACAATTTATTTAATTTGGAAGATTTAATTTCTTCCATTGACTTTGTACATACATACAAGTGCCGTTTTGCCTAAGCGTTTGCGCATGTCCATACTTTCCGCGATCAGCTGGGCCATTTTCCAATACTCAATAGTGGGATCCCAATACGACGCTTTTAGCATCGATCTGCACACTTCTGCATTTGAAAATGAGGCTGTATGTATCAGCTTGAATTCTTAATTCAATCAGATGATTGAAAGTAAGGAGTCAAGAGGCAAAAAACATAAGTATG